CAGTGGTGGACCTGCCAATTCTGGTGTTCAATAGCAAATGCCAATCGTGCTCTATGGTGCCGGGCAGTGAGCACATGGCTCACTAGAGGACGTCGGGCCCTCAGGCCACCCTCATGAAGTCTGTTTCTGATTGTTTGGTCAGAGACATACACACCAGTGGCCTGCTGGAGGTCATTTTGTAAGACTCTGGCAACGCTCATCCTGTTCCTCCTTGCACAAAGGAACAGATACCGGTCCTGCTGATGGGTTAAGGACCTTCTACGGCCCTGTCCAGCTCTCCTAGAGTAACTGCCTGTCTCCTGGTATCTCCTCCATGCTCTTGAGACTGTGCTGGGAGACACAGCAAACCTTCTGGCAATGGCACGTATTGATGTGCCATCCTGGAGGAGTTGGACTGCCTGTGCAACCTCTGTAGGGTCCAGTTATCACCTCATACTACTAGTAGTGACACTCATCAACCTGTAAAACCATTCCTGTTTTGGGGGTCATCTCATTTTTGCCCATCTAGTGCACCTGTTTCATTAACACCAAAGCAGCTGAAACTGATGAAGAATCCCAGGAGTTTAATTGACTTGTTGCTATACTCTGATTAAAAAGTGTTCCTTTAATTTTTTTGAGCAGTGTATATAAAGTCTGGTGAGAACAGCAAACCTGTCCTATTATTATTAATTCACATGCACAGTGCCAGATAGCTAGGTCTGTGCTACTGTATATTTGTAGTGGTCACCTTCCAGTATATTATTAGGTGAACCTGTATTTACAATATTATTAATACAGGTATTCATATAGCGCTGACAATTTACACAGCACTTTACATTTTGTATACAGTATATATTATAGTCATATCAGTCCTTCCCTAAAGGAGTTTACAATCTAAGGTCCCTAGCTCATGTTCATACATACTAGGGCCAATTAACCTACCAGCATGTCTTTGGAGTGTGGAAGGAAACCCACGCAGAGATTCAAACCAACAACCTTAGTGCTGCCAGCTGAAAGTTATACCCATTTAGCCACCCGATAGAGTTCATAGACAGCTCTTGTTATGTTAGTTAACCCTGTCTGCAATTCTATAGCTAGTTTTAGGTTAGTGCTCAATAACCAGCACAGGATAAAGCCAGGTTAGGCATCCAATGGCCACTTCTGGTAGTTAGAGGTCAGGTTGCATTACAGATTATAAACTTCTAGGGATTAAGAGGCAGATTAGAGTTCATGTGCTACATCACAGTTTCTGCAGGTGAGAAGCTGCGTTCCAGGCCTGGTGGACAATGGTTGGAGGATCTCCTCATCACCATTGATCTTGTCTTCATCTGTCTGAGAGAAAGACGCACACAGCAACACAATCATCCTCAAGGGTCCCTGCAACAGATCTTTGTTGCAACATTCATCAGGAGGTATCTTTATTGATACCTACAGTATATATACCCAGATATACAGTATGAGTACAATTCCACCAGAACTCTTGTTGGGCCATTTGCTGATAATACCTGTTTGTACATTGGATGTACAGTCATGGCCAAAAATATTGGCACCCCTGAATTCCTGTCAGATAATGCACCACTTCACCCAGAAAATTGTTGCAGTTACAAATGTTTAGGCATTCTCCTGTTTATTTCTTGTGTTTATACTGGTATGACACAAAAAGTGGAGAAACAAAAAGCCAAATCTGACAAATTCCACACAAAACTCCAAAAATGGACTGGACAAAATTATTGGCACCTTCTCAAAATTGTAAGAAATAATTGCATTCCAAGTTTGTGATGCTCCTGCAATTTGTAATTAAGCTCACCTGTGTCAATTAACAGGTGCTGACAATATAGAAATCACACCGACAACCAGTTAAAATGGTGAAAAATGGACTCAGCCTTTCTGTTGTGTGTCTCTGTGTGCCACATGGAGCATAGAGGAGAGAAAGAGCAGCAAGGAATTGTCTCAGGATCTGAGAACACAAATTGTGGAAAAGCATGGATAATCTCAAGGTTACAAGTCCATCTCCAGAGATCTTAATGTTCTTGCGTCCACTGTGCGCAATGTTGTCAAGAAGTGTACAGCTCATGGCTCTGTAGTTAATCTCCCTGGATGTGGATGAAAGAGAAAACTTGCACAAAGATTGCAACAAAGGATTATTCGAATGGTGGATAAAGAACCTCAATCAACTTCCAGACAAATTCAAGCTTACCTCTAAGCACACAGTACAACTGTGTCAGCTCGCACTATGCGTTGCCATCTGAATGAAGAAGGACGCTATGGTAGGAGACCCAGGAGGACCCCACTGCTGACACAGAAACATAAAAGAGCCAGATTGGAGTTTGCCAAAACTTACCTGAGGAAGCCAAAATCCTTTTGGGAGAATGTACTGTGGACAGACCAAACAAAATTACAGCTTTATGGTAATGCCCATCATTCTACTGTTTTCAGAAAAAGCAATGAGGCCTTTAAAGAAAAGAATACAGTCCCTAAAGTAAGACTTGGTGGAGGTTCACTAATGTTTTGGGGTTGTTTTGCTGCTTCAAGCACTGGATGTCTTGACCATGTGAATGGCTTTATGAAATCTGAAGACTACCAAAGAATTGTGGGGTGCAATATAGGGCCCAGTGTCTGTCAGGGACCCCAGGCTTCACCGCGGCGTGCGGGTCTACGCATGTATGGTATGCCGGGGTGCACTAGGACCTGGGCGCCCGCGACGGCAACGGCGATCGCAGATGCGCGCCTGGCACCAATGAGAGCGCAGGGCGCCCTATTTAAACAGGCTCTGACTGTGCTCAAATTGCCGTATGGTCTTTTCCTGTATCCTGTGTTCCTGAGAGATTGCCTTGTTGCCGACCCTGCCTGACCCTGATTCGTTGACTATCTTCTGCTCTGATCCCTGGCTTGTCTGACCATTCTCCTGTCTAATCCTGTACGTTTGATCTCCTGTTACCGAACCTGGCCTGTGACCCGTTTATCCTTCTGCCTGCCGCTTGTACCGTCCTGCCTCCACCGTTACTGACCTGGCCTGTCTGACTTCGCTCACTCCGCCTCCTCACATCAGGCTCTCACCTGCTACGTACCACCGGCAAGTGCTTCTACCACAGCTGGTTGCACTCTGGGGCCGCGACCTGGTTTCAGCCTGCTCCAAGTCCATCCCCACCATCAGGGGTTCTGGTGAACAAGCAGGTCGAGGCTTAGATTCCGCACCCTGGGGAATCCCGGTCTGTGGAGTGCTAGAGTCTACCACGGTCGGTCCTTAACAGTGTCAGAAAATGGATCTCCATCAGAGAACATGGGTCTTACAGCAGGAAAATGGCCCAAAGGACACATCACAAATCACCCAGAAATGGTTCCAGACAAAGCGCTGGAGAGTACTGAACTGGCCAGCAATGATTCCAGATCTCAGTCCCATAGAGCACCTGTGGAGAGATCTCAAAACAGCAGTTGGGAAAAGGAACCCTTCCAATCTGAGAGACCTGCAGCAGCTTGCAAAAGAAGAATGGTCCAAATTTCCAGTAGAGAAGTGTAAGAAACTTAGTTGTGTGTCAGATTTGGCTTTTTTTTCTCCACTTTTTTTGTGTCATGCCAATACAAACAAAAAATGAACATGAAAATTCCTAAACGTTTGTAATTGCAACAATTTTCTGGGTGAAGTGGTGCATTACAGAAATGCAGGGGTGCCAATATTTTTGGCCATGGCTGTATGTACTGTTATTAATCTCTTCTTTTATAAAGCTTGTATTATTTCTGTGCTATGTACATCTATATACCTATGGTTAATGTTACAGTACATGGTGGTTGCAGTAGGTTTTCTGCTCCCAATTACTTTATTTAGATTACTGGTTAATTTCACAGGGAGGGAATTCCCTTTGTTCACAGAGGCTCTGCCCTGGGTGGAGGTACTTCCAACTTTATTATCAATCTCACCCTTCCACTTAGCAAAGGTTTTGGTTCTCTTACTTACCAACAAGTTCATGCTGTTTTGATGACTTATTAATACTAGGGGGCTACATGTGGCTCCTTGGTACTTTTTAGGTGGCCCTTGGGGCACATGCAGACACCAGTCTGAGTTTGTCTATTGCCTTGTTAAAGCAGTTATCTTTATCAGTCTCATGTTTTGTGCCTCCAGTCTATCTTTCCTGAACCATGTCCCCTGTTTCCAACAGCTCTAGTATGTTCACAGTCTCTGACCATCTTCTGCAGCATGGCTGCACTCTCTGACCTTTTCTTGTATTATGAGATTGGCCATTTCCTGTAGGATGTACGCAGTCTCTAACCATCTCTTGTATCATGCCTATAGTCTCTGACCATCTCTTGTATAATTTCTGCCGTTTCTGGCCACCTCTTGTAGAAAACAAACTAAGTTTTTGTTTTTATATCCTGTTGTGTGTCTGTTGTCTCTGAAACTACACTATATTGCAAAAAGTATTGGGACCCCCCTCCAAATAATTGGATTCAGGTGTTCCAATCACCTCCAGGGCCACAGGTGTATAAAATCATCACCTAGGCATGCAGACTGCTTCTACAAACATTGGTGAAAGAATGGGTCGCTCTCAGGAGCTCAGTGACTCCAAGCGTGGTCCCGTGATAGGTGGCCACCTGTGCAATAAGTCCATCCGTGACATTTCCTGGCTACTAAATATTCCACGGTCAACTGTTAGTGGGATTATAACAAAGTGGAAGCAACTGGGAACAACAGCAATTCAGCCATCAAGTGGTAGGCCATGTAACATGACAGAGCGGGGTCAGCGCACGCTGAAGCACACAGTGCGCAGAAGTCACCAACTGTCTTCAGAGTCAATAGCTAAAGACCTCCAAACTTCATGTGGCCTTCAGATTAGTACAACAACAGTGTGTAGAGAGCTTCATGGAATGGGTTTCCATGGCTGAGCAGCTGCATCCAAGCCTTACATCACCAAGTGCAATGCAAAGCGTCGGATGCAGTGGTGTAAAGCACGCTGCCACTGGACTCTAGAGCAGTGGAGACGTGTTCTCTGGAGTGACCAATTATGCTTCTCTGTCTGGCAATCCGATGAACGTGTCCAGGGGCGGACTAGCAACTCATGGGGTCCCCGGGCAATAGGGGATCATGGGGCCCCTGTGTCCTTGTCCACACTCAAACCACACCCAAAAAAGCCTATGATAGGTACCAAGGGCATCTCATGGGGCCCCCTACTGACCCAGGGCCCTTGGGCATAGCCCGAGTGCTGGAATGGTCAGTCCGCCCCTGGACGTGTCTGGGTTTGGTGGTTGCCAGGAGAACAGTACTTGCTTGACTGCATTGTGCCAAGTGTAAAGTTTGGTGGAGGAGGGATTATGGTGTGGGGTTGTTTTTCAGGGGATGGGCTTGGCCCCCTAGTTCCAGTAAAGGGAACTCTTAAGGCGTCAGCATACCAAGACATTTTGGATAATTTCATGCTCCCAACTTTGTGGGAAGAGTTTGGGGATGGCACCTTCCTGTTCCAACATGACTGGGCACCAGTGCACAAACAAGGTCCATAAAGACATGGAGGAGCGAGTTTGGGGTGGAGCAACTTGACTGGCCTGCACAAAGTCCTGACCTCTACCTGATAGAACACCTCTGGGATGAATTAGAGCGGAGACTGTGAGCCAGGCCTTCTCGTCCGACATCAGTGCCTGACCTCACAAATGTGCTTCTGGAAGAATGGTCAGACCTTCCCATAGACACCCTCCTAAACCTTGTGGACGGCCTTCCCAGAAGAGTTGAAGCTGTTATAGCTGTAAAGGGCGGGCCAACTCAATATTGAACCCTACGGACTAAGACTGGGGGGCCATTAAAATTCATGTAAGTGTAAAGGTAGGTGTCCCAATACTTTTGGCAATATAGTGTAAATACTCACTGAATAATATGTGCAGGCCCTTTGGCAATGTCAGGGGTTGCACTTGAGGCCCTCCATGTCAGGAAAGTTGGCCACCACTCAACTATACCATGACCTGGATAAATGAGAACTTTCACAGATGTAATACCTAGAGCAACCACCATGTGGCAGCAATGTACCACTCAAATGTACACAAGCTTTGTTATATCAGCTCAACATAAATATGAATAGAAAATCTACTGTAGTTCAATGGGGTTATTAGAAAAACAATCACCTAGTCTCTTGGTCTCTTTGGTGCAGCAGTAATCATTACATTTCAAAGTCCTTTAATATTTTTTTATTAGTTCATATATTACATGTAATATCGTTTTGCTGTTCCTATGTACAGAAATATACAAGCATATTAGAGGACTCAAAACTCAGTTTAAATAAAGTTTATTTATTCAGTAAATAAAGTAGCAACCATTAAAGCAAGGTAAGAAATAATAGGCATGCTAGACGCAGGGGCAGACTGACAACTCATGGGGCCCCCAGGCAATAGGGGATCATGGGGCCCCTGTGTCCTTGCCCAAACTCAAAAAAGCCTATGAAAAAGGTACCAGGGGCATCTCATGGGGCCCCCTACTGACCTCGGGCCCTCGGGCAGTGCCGCAGTTTCCAATTGGTCAGTCCGCCCCTGGCTAGACGTGCTTATAGGCACCACCAGGGGCGGACTGACCATTTGGAAACTCGGGCACTGCCCGAGGGCCCGGGGTCAGTAGGGGGCCCATGAGATGCCCCTGGTACCTTTTTCATAGGCTTTTTTGAGTTTGGGCAAGGACACAGGGGCCTCATGATCCCCTATTGCCCGAGGGCCCCATGAGTTATCAGTCCGCCCCTGGGCACCACTATTGTCATATCCACCCCCAGCTACATCACTATGTCTCAAAATACCAACCAAATTGTTCTCTTCGTTCCTCCCAACACTTCTTACTCTCTAGCTCCCTCGTTTCATCCTCCCATGCTCACCTTCAGGACTTCTCTAGAGCCTCTAACATTCTCTGGAATTCCCTACCCCAATGTGTCCGATTATCTCCTACTTTGTCCACATTTAGACGATCCCTGAAAACATATTTATTCAGAGAGATCTATTCTGTCCCCATCTAACAACTGTACATTTATTCTCTCCAACAACCCATCCCCCACAGTTGTTACCTTTTGTATCTCTTGACCCCCCCCCCCCCCCTCTTAGATTGTAAGCTCTCAACGAGCAGGGCCCTCTGATTTCTACTATACTAAATTGCATTGTAATTGTACTGTCTGCCCTTATGTTGTAAATCGCTGCCTATACCATTGCTATATAAATCCGGTATTATAATAATAATATCTTTATTGGCCATATACCACAGCTGTCTCCAGGTAACACAGCAGATTAAAGCTAGAATGCTTCCTCTTCCAAGACCATTTCTGAGTAGTTTGTGAGTGCAATAATTTGAATTTTCCTTAATGGTATAAGCATTGTCTTTTATTATTATTATTATACAGTATTTATAAAGCGCCAATAGTTTGCTCAGCGCTGTACATTACAATGGGGGACAGAACATGTGACAGAACAATACCAATACAATGCAAAACATGAGGGGATCGAGGGCCCTGCTCTTTGGAGCTTACAATCTAGGAGGGAGGGGATGGTGGTACAGGAGGAGATAGCTGTGGGGGATGGAGTGGTAGGAAGAGTGGAGGAGATCGGCAAGTCAACAGGGGGTGGGGTAGGCTTCCCTGAAGAGATGGGTTTTCAGGGTGCGCCAAAAGGAGAGGAGAGTAGGTGATAATCTGATGGGTTGGGGCAGGGAGTTCCAGAGGATGGGCGCGATGCCCTGGAGAAGTCCTGGAGGCGGGCATGGGAGAAGGAGACCAGGGAACTAGAGAGAAGGAGGTCTTGTGAGGAGCGGAGTGTGCGTGCTGGGCGGTACTTGGATATTAGGTCAGTGATGTAGTTTGGGGCAGTGTTATGAACGGCTTTGTACGTCAGTGTTAGGATTTTGAATTTGATCCGTGGGCAATCGGAAGCCAGTGGAGGGATTGGCAGAGGGGGGTGGCGGAAACAGAGCCCAACCCCTCTCAACCCCCACCTCACCCCCTTAGTCTTTTATTACTTCGATTAGCAATATTGGATACTTGAAAGGACTATGTATTTTTGCTTTTGGTCTGGTTTAGTTTCAAGTCAACATTGGCTTCACTTTAAATCTTCAGGGGGTTATTTTCTAAAATTGGAGAGTGCAAAATCTGCCGGAACTCTTTATAGAAACCAGTCAGCTCCCAGGTTTTATTGCTAAACCTTCATTGAACAATCAGAAGTTTGAAGCTGGTTACCATGCCTGTTACGGAGTTGTGACGTCACGCCGCCGGCGCCAAGAGAGACCCGGCGGCCATCTTCAGATGGTCAGTGTTTTTTGGTTTGCTTATACTCTTTGTATGCCCAATATTTGAATAAACACCGCCTGTTTAGAAGGTATCACACTATCTGGCCTCCTTTTTTGGAGCTCCTTGTGAGCTACTAATATCCACAGAGCGGCTGCATCACGTATGGCAGTGGATACCAGGCAGTGACCAAGACCAGACCATTGAGGGATCTTCAGTCCTCTGGAATTGATATTTCCTAAATTTTGATTGCGCATCTGGTGAGTGCGCAATCTTATCACTTTAATCACCATAGCACCAGACTAGACCACTGGACTTTGAAGATCGTTTGGATCTCCTGTGCACTTTTTATTGTGGACTATTGCTTGATTTTTTAGTCTAGCACTTTGCACTTGATTGGTCACTAAACAGTGACAAGGTTATCACTTTATGCTGCACTTTATTTCAATTTTATTTATATATAAGCTGGTTTCATGCATTTTTTATGATGTAGACATGCATCCACCATTGACACGGTTCTTGCACCATTCAGTCACTTGATTTTATTATTCCATCATTTGATATAAGTACCGTTTATTGTCTTTTAGCGCTACACCCTGCTTTTACTATTTATTTGGAGGTTTTATATGGTACCTTTTGGTGTTTAGCAGATTTATTTTGTTATAAGCGCTCGCTTGTCTCTTCAGATTTTTCCAGCTGCACCAGATTCTGAGTGCTCCAGTTTTAGTAAATCACCCCCTCAGTCTACTAATACAGTGTCTTCATCTGATGAACAGCCAAGACTGAGGTCAGAATTTCACAGAATCGTCCCATATTATATCTGCAGATGATTTACACTGATAAATCTGTACACAGTCCATATCTGTGGATTCCTGATTACTGTTGAAGGACAGGAAGTCTTTCAGCATCGTATTAACCTTCCTCTTTCCAGCTATTGAGAACAAGCCAAGGGTGCCATCTTCAAATCCAACACACATCATACCATCCTCATCCGATGCCATCATGACACATGGAATTTTACCAAGGTGGTATTGGGCAATCTTTTTTCCGCTGTGCACTTCTGTCATGTTAAGTACAGGGTTGACATGAAAATCACACTTGCATTTACTCGACTGCTCATGACAAACATAAATGAGGTATTTACCATCTTTGGTCAGATGTTGATGCAATATAGAGGTGGGCGAATGCAAGACATAATGTTTTCTTACCAGCGAATTGATCACATTGATTGTTCCACTGAGGGTTATAACAACGAAATCTCCGTTGGATGAGATTTGAAACAAAGGAAGAGGAGGTGAAAGTTGAATGGATAGCTTGACCTGGTGGCACACCGTTTCTTCCACCACATTCCATGTGTAGAGATCGGCACTTGAAGTCAGCATGACAATGAAGTCCGGGTGGTTGGCAAGACACTGAAATGCCACAATGGAACTAGTGCCATCATCACAGCAAAGCTCTTACACACAAATCCAGACCATGAGCTGATAGCTAAAAGTCTGTTATTATTCAATCCAACAACAAAGGTGCCTTCCGGAGTTATGAGTGCTGAACTTACAAATGTATGTATCTTGCATACTGCAGACCCTGTTAGAGACCTCCACACCTTTGACCCCCCACCTTCACAAAGAGTGACCACAAAACTACTATTTGGTGTTATAAGCATCTGAGATATAGGACTGCTGTGGATGCAATGTGTGTTTATTCCAGAGTCTGTCTTCCAGATGTAAATTCCTCCCGATGTTTCTGACGTTATCAAAAGTTCTGCATTTGGGCTTACTCTCATCATTTCTACAACATCTCTGTGCTGAAAACAGGCTAACACTCTACAGCTCGGAATGCTCCATTTGCAGACAATATCTGAACCATCTGACGTGTAGGCATGGCTGCCGAGAGGACAAAGAATTAACGACTGAATTGGCCTTCCGGTTTGAAAGCAAGCAGTTGGAATGCTGACTGATTTCATATCCCACAACGTCAGTGAATTGCTATTGGTTACCGCTCCCAATAAATTGAATTCCAGGCTCTTTATGAGTAATGACACTTGAGATTCAAGATTAATCATGGAAATCAACTGTCCATTTGTAATACTCCAGACAAACAAAGAGTGAATATTCTCCACTGTAGCAATGATCCCATTTCCACAGTGAGAAAACGTGCAAAACATAACTTTGTCTTGGTGTGGACTCTTGAAAGTGACCTTCTCCCATGTTGACATTTTCCATACTTCGAAGGTGGTGGATCTGCAGACTAAAATCATCTTTGGAGCATACTCTGTAGAATACACCTCTTCCTGTACATCAGTAGAATTAAGTTCATCCAAAAGCTGTGGCTTACATGGATCTTCTATGTTCCATATTCTGATATTGCCATATTTGTCAATCACAATCACACACAGTTTGTGGATGTAAACTTCAAATATGGCATGCTTCAAAGTGTCCATCTGCAGGATTATTTTTTGGCAAATATTTTTAGTGCTGTAAAGGTGAAGTGTGTTTGATTCCACCAGAGATAAATATTGTTTATCACCAATACATGCAAAATAATTACATTTCTGGTCAAAATAAAGTTCTTTCAGTTTTTCACCAGAAACAATATTGAAAATTGTGACCTGTTGAGTGTTTTCATACCAAACAAACAGACAACTGTTAGCTAAGTGATATTTTTTGGGGGTAAGCACAGTTTCCCTATGGACATAAAAGTATTCATTCAAAAGTGCCCAGGAAGAACAGTCAAGAAGAACGATTGATTGTCTGGTGGTGCAAAGTGCTAAATAGCAGTCTTCACTATCCAAAGTGGCACTAATAATTTCTATGCCAAGTTCTATCTTTTGCTCTAAATCCTTTCCCTTACACCAAGTGTAAATATGGCCATTTTGAAAAACCACAATTAGCTCAGGTTTTGATTTCGCATTCAGGATGCTGACAATTTGAGATGATTCTTGGAACTGAACTTTAATAGCTGGTATTTTAAAATGGGCAGAATTCCAGATGACCATGGAAGAACTTTTGATGCTTTCACAAAAGATTTGCTTGGTAAACGTAAAAATACATGGATATACAGACAAGAGAGGCACCAATCTGGACTGTACAATCACTTCAAAAGCATTAGGATTTTCAGTCAGCAGACACCTTGCTTCTTGAAGTATGTTGGAGATTAGGTTGACTTCTTCCCTTCCAATCTGTGTGGCTGCATCTTTTACACTCCAGATCAAGGCGTTGAGGTGACCAGATTTTAAGAGGGTTTTGTAATAAGAAAGAACCATCAACACATTATTGTATAAACTATCTAGTTTCCCACATTCTTTTAGATGATAAGGTAAATCAAAAGCTTTTTTTGTATTCGCAAAGAATGTTTGTTCCATCCCAGAATGTACAACAAAAAGCCAAGGTTGAGACGGAAGCCGTCGGTCAATGTAAAACTTATTTTGTGCATTGGGGATTGATTTTGACCTATGATTTTC